ATTTTTCCACGAGTAGTTGTAAATTGGCTGTGTCCTCGGGAGGAGGTGAGTTCAGAGTCTGCTTATGCCGCCATCTTGACTTGTCTCCAAAAATCTCTTTTCATACCAAGAACCAGGAATTTTTGGTTCTGAAGTTTTCTCACAACTTCAATGAGAAGGACAATATATGCCAACGCCAAGATGAATAGGAGGTTGAAATTATCTGACAGAGAATTAAAGCAACCATGAAATAAATGTGTCAATAAGTTATCATTAATCTTCTTAACACAAATGACAATAATAGAAAATTTCAGTCAAGAAATAAAAGTTATAAAAAATAATTGAATGAAAATGATAAAACTGAAAAATATAATCACTGAATTAAAAAATAAAACCACTTGCTGGATAGGCTCAATAGTAGATTGGAGATGACAGAGGATAGAATCCTCTGTGACGATTCTGTGAACTTGAATAAAGATAAATAGAAATACCTTTTCTAAACAAAAATAAAACAGATTGAAAAAAAAGAACAGAGCTACATGGGTCTGTGGGACAATAAAAAAGGAGCTAACATTCATAAAATGGGAGTCCCAGAAGGAGAGGAGAAAGAAAGGGGGACTGAGTAGGTGTTCAAAGAAATGAAGGCTGAAAAATTCCCAAATTTGGTGAAAGACAGAGAGGTGCAGATTCAGGGAGCTCAGCAAACATTAAACAGGGTAAACCCAAAAGAGATACATACCAAGTCACATCATACTTAGACTTCTAAAAATAACACAAAGAAAAGTTTTGAAAGCACCCAGAGAGAAAGGAGTCATTACTTATTGGAAAGAGTAACATAGAAGACAACAAGTTTCTCCTGCAACCATGAAGGCCAGGAGGAAGTGGCACAATATTTGTCAAGTACTAAAAGCAAAGAATTTTCAAACATAAATTCTATATCTGACCTAAAATAGCCTTCAAAAATGAAGGAAAAATAAAGACATTTCCAATGAAGGAAAGCTAAGAGAATTTTTTCCCCCACAAATCTACCTTTAAGTAATGGCTCAAGGAAGTTCTCTAGACAGAGAGTAAATGATAAAAAGAAGACTTGAAACTTCAGTATTTAAGAAACACATAGAACAGAATGGAAATTTTAAAAGGCAACATATGAAAACGTGAGATTCAGGTAAAGCAGTGCTGAGAGGAAAATTTACAGCACTAAATGCTTACACTACTAAAGAAGAAAGGTCCTAGAATATATAAAATACTCTTGACAGAGAAGAATGAAGTGGGAGGAATCCCTCTACCTGATTTCAAGGCTTATTTTATAGCTACAGTCATCAGGACAGTGTGGACTGGTGGAAGAATAGACAGATAGATCAATGAAGCCAACTGGAGAACTCAGAGAAAGACCTACACAAGGATGCTCAACTGATTTTTTTCAAAAGATGCAGGAACAATCAATTGAAAGAAGGAAGGTTTTTCAAAAATGGTGCTGGAGCAATTGGACATCCACGGAGGACAGAAGCCCCTCCACCTAAGCCTCACATCTCATACAAGAATTAACTCAAAATAGATCATAGACTTAAATGTAAAATGCAAAACTATAAACTATAAACTTTTAGGAAAAAATAGGAGAAAATATTTAAGATATAAGGCTAGTTAAAAAGTTCTGGGAATTGACACTAAAACCACAATCCATAAGCAGAAAGATTCATCCAACTGCTGTCATGAAAATACTGTGCTCTGAAACATGTTTTATTTCCTTTACTGCATGCATATTTGTGTACATATATATACATAAATGCATGCACACATATATTTGAAAATATTTTAAAATTGTATCCTGTTTGTACTAGAAAAATGGTGATGCCAGGATATATCTGGTAATTAGATAATACTTTGATTGCTTTGTACACAAAGTGATGATTTTCATTGGAGGTACTTCTCCTTTTCTACTTTTATTTATCAGCAATCTGTAAATTTTTAAGTGTTCAGAGTTCTTTTATCTACCTTCTGAGGGATAAACCTATTTGCAATATCTTGTACTTTCCTTAGGGCTATCTGCATTTCTTTGTTTCTTAGACTGTAAACGATAGGATTAAGCAGAGGTGTCAGCACTGTATATGTCACAGCCATCAGTATATCTTCACAGAATGAGTCCCTGTCCTTGGGCCTCAAATAAACAAAGCGAGAAAGTCCATAGTGGATGCACACTACAGTGAGGAGGGAGGAACAAGTCGAGAAGGCCTTATGCTTCCCCTTTGCAGAAGACTTCTTCATAACTATGGATCCAATGAAGACATAGGAAATGATAATTAAAATAAAGCTGCCCACCAACACAAAGGCAGAGAGCACAAAAATAGCCATCTGATGATACAAAGTGTAATCACAAGCAAGGGAGACCAGAGGCGAGATGTCGCAGAAGAAGTGCTGGATGGTGTTGGAGTCACAAAGACAAGTTGAATACAGTGATGACGATGAACACGGAAACCAGGAACCCAACCACTCAGAGGCCATCATGAGCTGAAAGAAGATCTGGTGGGTCATCTGGATGGCATAATGGAGTGGGTTGTAAATGGCAATGTAGCGGTCATAGGACATGGCAACCATGATGAAGCAGTTATTGCCTGACAAGCCAAAGAAGAAAAACATCTCTATGGCACACTCAGGAAGGGAAATGGTCTTGCTGTCTGATAGCAAGTCCACTAACATGAGGGGAATGATTACCATAGTGGTATAAGTTTCTGAAAAGGACAGACCACAGAGGAAAAAGTACATGGGGGTGTGAAGGTTGTGACTGAGCTTGATGGCCACCATTATGGACACATTTGCAGCTAGGATGGTCACATGGGAGAAGAAGATCACTACAAAGAGGAGACTCTGCAGGTCTGGGAAACTGGAAAATCCCCACAGGAGGAATGTGCTCATTGTGGTACTATTGCCCACTGTTCAGTAGGCTCAGTAACTTTCTCCGACAGGTGTTCTTGATAAGAACATCTTATCAAAACATCTTATCAAAGAACGTCTTATCAAAACTCTGATAAGATTGCAAAAAACACTGATGTCACCTGGTCTTTAATCAAGGGCTTCTGGGCAAAGAAATGCAAGATGACTGTTAATGCGAGAACCTGAGAAATGGGAGTAAATGCACCTGACTGAACTCAAGGTCAGGACTCAGTGATGAGGAGAAAGTTTCTAGTAGGAGAATCTGTATAAATGCCATAGAGTAGGCCCAAATATATTCTGGGAGCCCCTCAGTTATCACCCTTTACTCTTCTCTACAGTCAGAATCTGCATGAAAGAGGGAAATATGAAAAAAAAAAAAAAGCTTATTTTCTCACCCACCAGAGTATGAGGAAGAACAGGTATAAAATGTTTCCTGTGATCTAATCATAGCCTGGCATACAGAAGTGCCTAACAATGTTGACTGAATCAATACCAATTTAAGAAGTAAGGAAAAATTTTTAATGGCTTCCAAACATTCTTGGAAAGTAATCCTGTCTTCAGAGGTGCTCCCAAGAAGGCAGTGGCTGCTTGGCCAAAAATTATGCCAATAAGTAGACCTAATAAATGAATTTACCACTTTGAAATTTGTACTGGTTTCCTATCCATGACAATAAGTTAAGGCTGGAGATGTTCAATAAGCATCTCCCATTCAGACTGATCTTGGAGGCAAAATGGTTATGGAGAGACTATCCCCATCCTGGATGGCTCATTTGTGTTCATGATGTCCTGATCAACTCTTGAGCTTTCAGGAAATCTTCCAGGATATTTTCTAACATATAAAGTGCTGCCTTGAAGCACAGCTCTTATAAGAATTCAAGTTCCTCAGGTCATTTTCATCAGTTCATAAAATATGCACTCTGTGTATGAGACGACAGCATGAAAGCAACACAAGGACTTCCATAAAATAGGAGGTTTGGTTTCAGACACTATTGTCAGGGAAGGAAAGGAAAACAAGGGGAAGACATTGGTGTGGTGTTGAGGGTTGGGGAAAGAAGGGTAGAGACATACTGGAAAGTATTTTGTAGGGTCCACAAAGCTTGAAGAAAGTATATCTTTGGCTGAGAATTGTGTGTGTTCTTTATGTACTGAATTACTGGGCAAAAAATATTCAAGGAGGCAAGTCAGGCAACCAGTATTTACTCCACATCTGAAATGTGCTGGTCAATATGCTGTGTGTTTGGTAGAATTTTCTCACTAAATTTCTCTCAACAACTTTATATGGTAGGTATTTCAATCCTGATGTCACAAAAATTGAAACTAAGGTACAGGTTGCTTAATTGACTGTCCAAAGTCAATGCATTAATTCCACATATATTTACTTAATGTCTAGGATGTGTTAGTCAATTCTATACATGAGAAATATAACATGGGATAAGACACATATGACCTTTCCTATCTCAGATAAAGAAAAATGCCATGAAGAGAATTAAAGGAAATTGATATGAGAGCGAGGGACTCCTCTGGACTGTAGGGTCAGGAAAGCCCTTTCTATGGAACTACACATACTTAGTAATTGGAATGCAGCAAGCAGCCCACCATTTAAAGATCCAGGGGAAAAGCATGACAGACACAGGAAATAGCTAGTGCAAAGACCCCATGGTGGAAATAAGCTTGACATATTCAAGGAATGTGAAGACAGCCAATGTATCCAGAACACCTCTCTCATGTATCCTTTAAACACTTTATGAGAGAAAGAGTAGTATTGTGCCTGTGTTCGAGACAAGGAAACTATGGCTGAAAGAGTTCATTTTTGAAGATGATAAAGTTTGTATGAACAATAAATCCTACTTTCCTCATAATACTCAAGGGAAGTAGTGATCGAGAATACGTCAATATGACATTATCCCCATTACTTCCAGTCACTCTCTGAGAGACAGAGTTTGAGGGAGGTGTTTTCTGGATCAGCATTTTTTGATAAATTCTCTCACTTTGGGCTATAGCACTTCTGTAGACTGAAAGGAACTTAATTGATTTCTTTCCTTGAAAACCCCATTTCCCAGTTTATCCATGCCCCCACCCTTGACCAGAGATCTAGTGGACTTAGAATATCTAATTTATTCAAGATAGCAGTGAGACCTACAGGAATTTGAGGCTGATTCTTGATATTAAGCCACCTTGCAGACTCTCTTGTCCCATCACCATATCAAAACCCTGGACAGTGGACACTGTATGTCAGTCTACCTCCCAAGAAATACATCAAAACCATGTCTGAGAATGGCTAGGACCACCTCGTCACCCATCACTTTCCACCAGACTGAACTAAAGGATTTTTCTGGCAGCTACACATACTTCCTCCTCATGGGGCAACATTCAAAATAGAAAATGGAGAATGTTCATCATCCAGTCTTTGGAAATGTGTATTTAACTTTCTTCCCATCCAATCAGAATAAAAGTCAGCTTTGATTCAGCTTTTTTACAATTTTCAGAAAAGATATGATATTTTTAATGGGAAAATAAAGGAGTATATTTTATTGAGTTATAGATATGAATTCTGATAGGAAATCTAACAGAATTTACATAAGTTAGAGATTTATGAGGGTCATGATTTTTCTGATTGTAAATGGCTTTCTAAGTTCAAATATATATATATATATATGAAAACTTATTTCCTTAGTTCTTTCAATGAGGCTATATTAGATCCACCAAAGAAATGCTTGTTGCTTTCATAAATCACAACTGCATAATTATGAAATCAAATCATCACACTGAGTGGCTGAAGGGAAAATGAAGGGAAACAAAGAATCAAATTTCTGATGGCTTACAGTGAAATTTACAACTAAATAATGAGTGAAATATGGAAATTGCAGAAGAATTTTATACATGTTTTTCTTTACTCTTTCCTGCTTAATTCTTTTGATACACTGAAATCACCTAATTAGCCTTGAGGTTAGACCGGGAATTATACTGGAGTCTATTTTGTTATGCGATAAGGATTGAGCAGATTTAGAGGAGCCTGTGTTCAAATCCAACCTCCTTTCCATTAATACAAATTACATACAGTAATTTAATTTCCATGATAACCATTTTTCTCCTCTGTAACATGGCCCTAAATATACCACCTTGCAGGGTGACAATGCTGTGCATATGGACCTATCAGATAATAAGTGCCCAGTACCTGCTAGTTCCATTCCCATTTGCTAAAATTTTGCATGGTTTATGGACAAATTTTCCTATAGGTGCTCAGCAGTACTTGCCTGCTCACAAGATGCATGTAACGCTGTCCTGCTCTTCTGCCTTGTCAGCTGTGTGAAGTTGATTCCTTTTGGCACATTTCTCCTTGGTGTGCAGTTTGCAGTACTGTTCTCAGTTTGCAGCTTTCTAGCCTCCTCTGATTGCTGCTGTCTGTGTGCTAATTATGCCAGGGATAGGAAAACAATAACATTTATCCCCATCCAATTGTACTCTTAGTATTTGCAGTACTTTCTGTTGATTTACATCCACAGCTACACGGTTATTAGTGGATAGAAAGTTCGTGGTAAATAGAGATATAAAATAAAATTCACACCTTATGCCAAAGTTGAATCACTTCCATCTCTTAAAAAGAAAAATTAAGCTATATGAGTAACATTGCTCATGCACAGTTTTCTACAGTTTCTGGAATATCATGTAGTGATGAATTTTTAAGCCATTTTGCCCTTTGAATACCTGTTTTGCATTCACTCTTTTTTTTTTAATTTTTTGTTTATTGCAGTAACATTGGTTATGACATTGTAAAAATTTCAGGTGTACATCATTGTACATCTATTTCTGCATAGATTACATCATGTTCACCACCAAAATACTAATTACAACCCATCACCACACACATGTACCGAATTATCCCTTTCACCCTCCTCCCTCCCCCGTTCCCCTCTGGTAACCACCAATCCAATCTCTGTCCCTATGTGTTTGTTTATTGTTGTTATTATCTACTACTTAATGAAGGAAATCATACGGTATTTGACCTTCTCCCTCTGACTTATTTCACTTTGCATTATACCCTCAATGTCCATCCATGTTGTCACAAATGGCTAGATTTCATCGTTTCTTATGGCTGAGTACGAATGGATAAAGAAGATGTGGTATATATACACAATGGAATACTACTCAGCCATAAGAAATGATGCATTCACTCTTTGTTTGAAATTACTAAGTCTCTTATAACAATAAGATAGAGTCTTCTCTATTCCTTATGGCTGGACCTGAGTTCCATGCATATTCCAATGAGAATTTTACGTTCACCGGAGAACATTATCCTTTGACACTGCTTGGAGTTTCTTCCTTTCCATTAGTTACCAGAAGGATTGTCCTCTGTGGACCTAGAACTCATTATGATGTCCACAAAACATTGTTTTTATTCTGACACAGCATTGTGATTATTCAGGTAAGCTTGTTCTTATTTATCTAAAAAAATCAAGTAATTGAAATTCAGCTTTTTCAAATACATTTTGGAATGTAGATAATTCCCTCAGGTATATTTTACTTTCTACTCAATAGCATCTACGTTATAGTTCTGAAAATTTCCCAAGTCCCGCAGGTCTTCTGATCTGTATACAGGCCTAGGGTGAGGGCCTATCTTACAGGGTGTTGTCCTGGTAATCAGTCAGAGAAAGCTAGAAAAGGAGATGAACACATACAGTGATTGAACTAACTCTTCTGTGGAAGGCCTTGCTGAAGAGGAAATCCACTGTAATAAAAATCTTCATTTATTGCAGTGACACTCAATTTTTTTTTCCAGTATTTCATGAAATTTTTAAATCGTAAAGCCATGCTGAAACAATTATACTGTTAGCATCTGTATATCTACTGCTTAGATTGTTCTGAATATCTACTGCTGCATAATAAACTACCCCAAAACTTAGTGCATTTAAATAACTAAATTCATATAGACAGGGCTCTACAGGGATGACAGAGACATTGCATATCTTGTTCACTTCATCTGG